TTGATGGTGGATAATGAATAGTAAACCCTGTCTCTTATACACATCTAGATGTGTATAAGAGACAGCATTACTGATGTCGTACACACCCTTCAGTGTGAAATGTGGCTCTCTTTGCAAGCACATCTAACATCTAAGGAAAGAAGAGCTTAGATTGGTAACAGATAAAATAATTTTGTTATCAACATTATACATTATACTAATTTTCATCTTTGTAAGCGCATAAGACAGTGGAAATTATTTCTGTGACAGTTTTTCAAAGTGTGTAAAGCTCCATTTTATCCCATACATAGTCAAAATATTGGGGGATGATACAATGGACCATCCCCCTTGTCAAATATTGGGGGGATATATCCCCCAATCCCCCGGGATCTACGCCTATGTTGGTTACAACCGTTGGGCCGACGTTGGCCAGAGGGTGTAAAAATTAAAAGAGAACTAGCAAAATGATTTTTTGTTCTAGAGTGGATTTTTTATATGCCATTAATAATAGAATCAACCTTAAAATCGTTTTTTGGATATTTTTTTATGAAGTTTTTGGCGATTGTATACGATTTTACCATGACGTCACTGGCGAAAATGTATCTTTGCGTGCATGCTCTAATAATCACAATTCACAGCCATGGTTACATCATACACGCAAAGATCGTGTGAGAATCGAACACAGAACCTCCATGTTTGTTAGACACTGGCTCGTGTGGGAATCGAACCCACGACCATAAAGAAAATAAATAAAAAAATATTTAAAAAACTCGCCCCGTGTGGGAATCGAACCCACGATCGCCGAGTTTACTACTCCTGATCCAGCATGACTAAACGGAGGGAGGTAAAACGCGGCCCCTAAACCATAAATGCGATAAACCTAGTACCACACCAAGTACCAGCTAGTCAACTCTTATTCTACTACAAAAAATTCTTTGTATATATACACTACAGGTTAGTCATACGCATAGTAATAGTGTCAAAAATGGGCCGTGGGCCAAGAGGGTTAATTTTTTTTGTCTAAAAATGTAGAATTAAATTTATAATAGATTTTTGATTGTTACCATCTTCATAACTTACGCATTTTTTTTTTAAATAGACAAAAATGTTTGAAAAATTCATTATGCAAATTAGAAGAAATAGACCAATCATGTTACGGGAAACCATCATATGGTTGTGTGTTCAATTCCCACACAAAACCAATTGATGGTGGATAATGAATAGCAAACCTGGTGGTTGTGTGTTCGATTCCCACTCAAACCATTTTTTTTTTCTGTTAAGGCCAGGGCTTTCTCCAATTGCAATTTATATATTTTATATGAGAAAAATTTATGAATATTCACCACACGAGCCAGGTTTTTTTTTAGATAGTGGGTTCAATCCCCACACGAGCCAGGTTTTTTGTTTTTTTTTTTGTTTTTTTATCTTTATTGGCTAGTATTTAAGGACGCACTGTGTATTTGGTACGATAACACAACACTCCTCACTCCTATATTTCTTGAGGCAAACTTAGCATTTTTAGTGGTTGTTATCTGGCTAGATAAACTGGAGGTTGTGGGTTCGATTCCCACACGAACCATTTTTATACATTTATTTTACTGGCAAGTAATTGGGGACGTACTGAGTATTTAATAAGTCCACTGAATAATCTCAGATAACATAGTATAATACATGACCATGCATAATTGACCCACAGCTGTATATTGCATCTTTACATTTCTTTAGTTAGACCTTTTTTTGGTTATTCCAGTGTTATTTATACTGTAATTCAATTTCCTTCTTACAAGCCCATCAGATTGAGAGAGTCCAGTCTAAATTTTTATATTTTTTAAATCACAATTTCAAAAATGACGATATTGTTTCATACACACTTTCCTCACTTAGATAAATATTTTTGATATGGTTTTTCTTTTTCAATGTGTTAACTCTATTGTTGATACTATAGTTTACGTTCTTTATTCCCTCTTAATATTAATACACCTGATTCTGGCCGTCGTAATGACCTATTTTTGGTTCCCTTTAACAGAGTCAATTGCAATAAAAATGGTTTTATTCATCGTCTTGCCAACTTTTTAAATAACCTTTCTCACAATTTTACGTCAGTCGATATTTTTCACCAGAGCCTTAGTTCATTCAAAACCAGCTTATCGCAATCTTTAATCCATAATACCAAGTGGCTTATTTTCTGGGTGGGTTAATTCCTTTATTTCTTTGTTTGTCTTTTTCTTTGTTTTTTATTTTTTGTCTTGTTTGTGTGCTTTCTTTTTTTTACCCACCTTTGTTCTGTGTTCTGTACGTACTATTATGTGTTTTTCTGTTTGAATTTTTTATCTGTTTCATCTTCAATTTTTAGCTTAAGATGTTCCTCTCCGCAATATTTTTGTAAATTTTAATCAATATCATGCTGTCAATTACCAAACCACAAAGACAATCGGAAAGTTGTCGTGTGTAATCGGAAATATTCGGCATAATAAATTTTGGAGAATTTAAGGCTCACGTCAGCACAAAAGATATATATTTACAATGTTGGAATATTGACTGCGATTGATTGAAAAAAAAAAATCATAGCGCAACATAATCAAAATAGAAACATTACTATTGGAAACGTTCAATTCGGCGATTCTGTTTCATTCATATGCAACAAATATTCATTATCATTACTGAGTCGTCGATATATTGATAATTCTCTTTATTATTAAGTCTAGTAACAATGCCAGGAGTGGTTTGGGTTACTTTGATATTCCTAATTCTTTTAAAGTCAGGCTCCGGAGGGAAAAAAAATTAATATTTTTTGTAGAACTGATTTTTCTAAAATATTCAATAACCTGTATCACGTTCACCGTTAACCAGTTTTTCGTCAAACAACTTTTTTCTGTCCTAGAATAATCAGTTCTACAACATATCAATTTTTTCCACCGGAGTCTGCCAATTATTGTAACTTAGGGGTGTTTTTGTCAGGAACTAGATGGCTGGAAATTACTCTCAGACTGAAAGATTGTTGGTCTTTAAATTTGAATATGAGCGAGCCCTATACAAATCTTATGTTATTAATTTGATTATTATTATTTATAAATATTATTTATAAATATATAAACAGTATAGGCTAGTTGGCCGCAATATATAAACTGTGCTTTCCTGTAAATGTAAATTGTAAGTGTTAAATGATAATTATACAGGATCTGTGAAATATTCAACTTGCGTAATTGTGTAATGTACATTTTATCGTATTAAAAGTCTCGTCTCTTTTTTAATATTGTATTATGGCTGTACAGTGTGTTACTTTTATGAACACACTGCAAGAGCGTGTCTGCTGTTTTAAAAGCGCCGTTTCCAAATAAAGTAATTATATAATTAATAGTATGCAATAGAAACAGCAAATTATTTTTAAGATTATAAGCATCACCTTTATTTTCATT